CTGGGTGTGGTGGCGCACGCCTATGATCTCAGAACTCGGGAGGCAGAGGCAGGAGGATCACTGTGAGTTTGAAGCCAGTCTGGGCTACATAGTGAGTTCAAGGCCAGTCTGAACTATATAGTGAGACCCTGTTTCAAAAACAAAAAGAAAAGAAAAGAAAAGAAATCCTTCAAGATAAAGATGAAATGACCAGGCCTGCATACTTCCTCAAAAGACAAACACTGGGCCTAATGAAGTCTAGATAGACATCAGTCACCCCAGTGGGTGACCAAGACCTCTGGACCCATCATTTCCTAGAAGAAGTCTTTGTTCTTTCCATGCACCCTTGTTAGGTGACTTCTTTCCCTATTGGCTCACTGTTACGTAAGCAACTATACTTGGGACCTTATTGGTTAATCATAGCTGTAACTCACGTTGTACCCATGTGAGTTTTGCTCTATAAAACTTTGTGTAAAGTGGGGTCCCCTCCTGCCTCCCAGGAGCTATCTTCTCAATATTTTCCTACTCTTAACCTCCCTTGTTCCTAGAATTCATTCTTCAATTTTTAAAGAACACAAACTCGATGTATCAGACTTCTAACAGGTTGGGAGATATATTTTCATTTTTCATCTCCTGTATCAGGAAGACCAGTCAGACAGCCCAGGCTGGTCATTCAAGGAGGCCAAAGTTTGGAGACCACATGGGGCAAGGAACTTTATCTTTTTAAAGATTTTTTTCAGGGTCTGGGGATTTAGCTCAGTGGTTCCACCGCCTGCCTGTCTTGAAAGTGCAAGGATCCAAGTTTGATCCCCAGTACCAAATTTAAAAAAAATTTTTTTTCAGTACTTGGGATTAAATCCAGGATCTTCACACTGAACTGCATCCCCAACCCATTTTTTATTTTTTATTTTGAGATAAGGTCTTGATAAATAACTAAATTGCTTGAATTTGGGATCTTTCTGCCTCAGCCTCTCAGAGTGCTGGGATTACAGGCTTGTGCCACTAGGCCTAGCTGCAAGGGAGATACTTCTCTTTCTCTCTCCCCCTCCCTCGCTCTCCTTGTTTCCTACACTCAGAAAACCTTGAAAGTTCCTTAAAGAGAAGTGTTGATAGGGCTGGGGATTTAGCTCAGTGGTTTGGGTGCCTGCCATGCAAGCGCAAGGTCCTGAGTTTGATCCCCGATACCAAAAAGAAAAAGAGAAGTGTTGACCAGACATGAATTGGCAAGACTTCTAAAGGAGGAAAAAAAACCCAAAGCTGTTTATCTTTGCTACCAACTGAGGGACTTCTGAAAATTTGAATGCCCCAGCTTTTTCTTTTTTTGGCGGGGGTGGGGATTGCACTAGGGTCTGGTGCAAGCTAGGTAAGTATACTCTATCTACTACATCCCCAGCCCTTTTTATTTATTTTGAGGCAGGGCCTAGCAAAATTGCCCAGGCTGGCCTGAATTTGTGATCCTCCTGCCTCAGCCTCCCAAGTACCACAGCTGGGATTACAGATGTGCATGACCACACCCAATCTCCCAGCTTTCTTTATGAGTGTGTACTTGCAGTACTTCTGTTGTTTTATGGTTGGTGGTTTTTAGGAGGTGGGGAGAAGACTGGGCTATTGTGTGCTTTTTATAGCAGTCTCCCTCCTCAGCCATTCACATAAAGCAACTGAGGACTAGCTGGCCTGGAAGTCACTGGAAACAAAGAGGAACCAACCCTGGGGAAAGCCCTGGACAATCACTGAACAATAACAATTCCTTTGGGTGCACTGAGAAGACAGGAAGTTCAGGATGGGTGTGTTGACAGCAGCCTTCAATCCCTGCAGCTTTGGGTGAAACACACAAGTGGGGCCCAGCTTCCCACCTGACCTGCCTTAACTCATCCCTGCTGAAGCAAGGCTGCCAAGAGTGTGGATATGCAGGGAAAAGCCCAGGAAGAGGAAGTGGTGGTTCTGGGAGCCCAGAGGTTCGCTTCCCTGCTGAGTCACTTCTCACTGGGCATGGGAATACCTGCTGGAGTTTTTGAAAGCCCTGGAAAACCCCAGCAGCCAGGATCCCTGACAGGCTCTACCTGGGGTAACCCCTCTCACCATCACATTCCCCTTTGGCATTTCCACCCCAAACATCTTCAGATCCTCTTCTCCATGCAGGATCCACCCCCAGGAGCAGCCTCCCAGCCCATCAGCTCAGCTTGCCTGTCTACAATTCTCAATGACAGTGGACCTTGAACATGCTAATTTAGCAATTGCAACAGCTCATAGTTAGTGACCACTTACTATGTCAGGTATTATGGTGATATTCACAACAGGAAGTAGTTACTATAGTTATCTGCAATTTACAGATGGGGAGCCAGCATTCAGATTCCATGGTCCTTCACCATCTACAGTTTGTACAGTGTCAGGCTCAGTGGAAGGAAACCCACATTTCACAACTTGTTTTCGTGGACTCAGAAAATCTAAGATTTGTACAAGTTCCAGCCCAATCTGGGCAATTTAGCAAGATTCTAAAGAAAAAACATAAAAGGGCTGGGAGCGTAGCCCAGTGTGAAGGCCGTGGTTCAATTCCTAGTACTCGAAAATAAATGAATAAATGAAAATCTAAGATTTGGAAAAGATAACCCAATGTAACATTTGATTTTATAAATGAGCAGACTATCCCAGAGAGCCCTCATTCCACAGTAAGATCATGAGAGCCGGGCCAGGGATTTAGCTCAGTGGTTTCACTCCCTGCTGCGCAAGCACAAGGAACCGAGTTCAATCCCCGGTACCAAAAAAAAAAAAAAAAAAAGATCATGAGAGCCCCCAAACCCACACTACTTTTGTGCCTTTCGACACAAACCCTTTTCTTTCTCCCAGAAAAAAAGTCATTTTCAAGTGGGTCATGGTGATGCATGCCTATAATCCCAGCTATTAGGGAAGCTGAGGCAGGAGGATCTAAAGTTTGAGGCTGCTTATTGAGATGTCTCAAAATAAAGAGTTGAAGATTTAGCTTAGTGCTCCCTCGGTTCAATCCACAGTACCATAAAATTTAAAGAATTAAAAAAAAAACCTTTTTCTGAAATTTTCTCACTTTTTTGCTTTTCAATTCTCCATAGATTTACTTTCTTCTTTCCCAAACAATGCAAAAAAGTGTTCCACCCCTTCTTTCCCTGTTACTCTTTTCTTGGGAAGAAATAAAGAGGATAAGAGGGGCCGGGGATTTAGCTCAGTGGTTTTGCCGCCTGCTGCACAAGCACAAGGACCCGAGTTTGATCCCCGGTACCAGAAAAAAAAAAAAAAAAGAGGATAAGAGAAGGTGAGGGAAGGGAGGGAAAGAAGAAAAGAAAGGAAGAGAGGCAAGAAAAACAGGGGAGAAGAGTGGAGGAAAAGAGAAAAGAAGAGAAAATCTCACTGGCACAGTAGCACACGCAGGAGGATTACCAGGAGTTCAAGACTGGCCTGGGCTACACAGTTAGCTGAAGACCAGTTTGAACTGCATAGCAAGACCCTGTCTCAAACAAAACAAAACCAAAACCAAAAATCTACCAGGAAAAGAAGAGAAAATAATAGAAATAAAGAGGAAAGAAAAATGCCCTTCAAAATCAGAAATCAGTCCCAAATCAAAAATGTGTCCAGAATCAGAAATCTTTTTTTTAAAGCAAAACACTTCTTGGTACATTTTAGATATAGATAATGGTAACATTCTTTGTACCTGTACATGATATATTTTGCTTGTTTTTTCCCACCCCCCTTCAACCCCTCTTCCCCTCCTTATTTACAAAAGCTTTGTTTTCATTTTTCCTTCATTCTCTTTTTCTTCCTTGTCTCTTCTTTCCTTCCCCTCTCCCCCCTCCTGTGTTTCCCTTCTCATTTGGACATTTTCTTTCCATTTCCCAATATCTATTATATGTTTTGGTCCTTACTTCCACTTTCAGTTTCTTCACCAGAGAAACAATACGGTATTTAAACATTGTGTCCAATTTATCTCACTTAAGAGTATGGTCTCAAGGTGCATCCATTTACCTGGAAATGTCTCAAGCTTCTTTATGGCACAGTAGTACTCCATTGTATAAAAACCCCCCACATCTTCTATATCTATATCCATTCATCAGTTGACAGGCATTTGGGCTGTTTCAAAGATTTAGCTATTACAAACTGTGCTGCTATAAACATGGGTGTGCTGTATCACTGTGGTCTGATGCTTTTAATTCTTTTGGGAAGATACTAAGAAGGGGAATAGCTGGGTTGAATGGAACCTTTAATTTTAGATTTTTGAGGAATCTCCGCACTAATTTCCACAGTCGTTGCATCAGTCTACATTTCCACCAACATCGGAAAAGTGTTCCTTTTTCCCCACAGCCCAGCCAGTATTTGTTATTGATTAATTTCTTGATGATAGCCATTCTTTCTGGAGTGAGATGAAATCTGTGTTTTAATTTGCATCGCTGAATGGTCGGTGATTTTGAACTTTTTTTCATATATTTATTTGCTATTTCTACTTCATCTGAGACGTCTTTATTCATTTCAGATGTCCATTATTGGATTGGGTCTTTAAATTTAGGGGGGGGTCTGATTTTTTTTTTTTTAGTTCTTTCTATATTCTAGTTTAGTCCTTTGTAGAGTAACAGCTGGCAAAAAAAATTGCCCACGTTGTGGGCTGTCTCTTCTTCACTATGTTGGTGGCTTCTTTTGCTGTGCAAAAGTTTTTTTAATGAGATCCCAGTTGTTGATTCTTTGCGATAGTTCTTGTGTGTTCCGGGTTTTGTTCATAGTCTTTGTCTACACCAATGTCTTCAAGAGTTCTACCTACTTTATGTTCCAGCAGACTTAGTGCTTCTGTTTAACATTTAGATCTTCGATCCATCTTGACCCAAATCAGAAATGTGTATACGCCACATTACCTCAAAGCCCGGTGCCCTCATCAAAGAAGGACGCGCAGGCCTTTGAAACCCTGGCTCTGCCCTCAATCAATATGGCGGCCACAGGGGAACTTCAGTCGCCCTCCCCCGCCCTCCCCTCGCGGATGGGCAGCGTGAGGTGCGCATGCGCAGCAGAGCGAAGGGGCGTCAGGCCCGCTTCCCGCAGTTGCCAGGCTGTGGCGGCCCTGGCCGCGGGATGGTGTAGCCCAGCTGCGGGAGGGGTGGACTCACGCCCGCGGCAGAGCTCAGTCGCTGTGGCCTCAAAGTGAGGGGGCGTCGCCGCCCGCCGGGGGTCCCTGAGGCCGCCATGGCGTCTCGCGGGGTGCTGGACGAGTTCACCGCTCCGGCTGCGAAGGCAGCGCTGCTGGAGCGGAGCCGCGGCCGGATCGAGGGCCTTTTCGGGGTGAGCCTGGCTGTGCTGGGCGCGCTGGGCGCCGAGGAGCCGCTGCCCGCGCGCATCTGGCTGCAGCTGCGGGGCTCACGGGGGGCGGTGCACAGCGCCAAGGTAAGTCTGGGGCCCCGGGCCAGCCGAGTCGCTGCCCTGAGAGCGCTCAGGCCCGCCCGCCTCCTCCACAGTGGTGGGTCTCTGTGGCGTGGGGTCTCAGCCCACACTGAGAACCAGAAGAAATCACAATGGGGAGTAACAACGCCATGCGAAGGTCTAGGAGGGGTGGGATGGCTAACAGGAGTGTTTAAAGCTGGGCCTGGTGGTGCACTCGAGAGGCTGAGGCAGGAGGAGGATTTCGAGTTCCAGGCCAGCCTGAGCTACGTAATGGGTTTAAGGCCAACCTAGAGTACATAGCAAGACCCTGATTCAAAAAGCCAGAAGAAAGAAAGTGTTTAAAATAACATTATTCCTCATATTGATGTATGAACAAGCGACATTTAAATAGTGCTTATAACAACATTAGACGTCCGCTATATTCTTGGACTGATGCAGCCCTTAAAGTCCAATAAGGTAGCTTTTATTGTCCAGTGTGTCTTTTTAAAATTAAATTAACAGCTGGGGAGACTGAAACTCAAAGTGGTGACTCACCTTGTGTCTAATCAGCATTTCAGCCTTTTACCTCCTCAACACTTCCATCCACTCCTTCCTCTCCCCAGCCAGGAAACAGCAACAAAGGGTGTCCCTTGTCGGGGAGGGAAGGCTGTCTCCCCCGAAGGTTCTGTAATTTAGTCTGCAAAATCAGTCGGTCATTGAGTCTATTAAATAAACTGTAGACAGACAACAGGAGAAAACCCATTTTAATCACGAGTACATGCAAGGGAGTCGCACAGAGAAGGCTGGAAGAAGCCTGCTCACCCTGAGTACTGGGGGAACACTTGCGTGGCTTTAGGTGATGGTTTTCCTTCCTGCCTTTAGTCAGATCAGGGAACTTTTGAGAAAACCCCTGGCTGCATTTTCGTTCCTGAAGTGCTCAGTCCGAAGTAACCAGTGAGCAGCCTAGAGGCTCGTTTCAGAGTGATGTTTCCTGATCCCCTTTACCCCTCCTCCAGGACCCGGGTTTCTCCGGGTTTCCTGTTTCCTTCGCTGGATTCAGAGGCAGGGAGTTGTTTCTAGAGTCCAAGTTGTTGTTCAGGTGATGAGAGAACCCCCCCCACCCTGTATCCTATTTCACAAATTGCACAGAATTTGAAGGAGCTAAGTAGTTGTAACTCCTGACGATTTTCGATTTAACCAAAAAACCTTGCTGCTACTTTGTGTAGAGCAAATAGGATCCTTAGCTGTATGATTTTCTCGAAGCTTAGCTTAAAACATTGTGGATGTTGAATCAGATTTGCTTTCCTCTGCTTAATTTCTTTGATTGGTTGTATGAAATTTTTGGTTGTTGTTTTTTGAGACATAGTCTTGCTATGTAGTTCAGGCTGGCCTTGAACTCACTATGTGGCCCACTCTGAACTTGAACTTGAGGTGATCCTCCTGCCTCAGCCTCCTGAGTGCTGGGATTGATTGCATGTGTGCACCTCCATGGCTGGATGCCTGCCCTAGTTGTCTAATTTAAAAAATGAAATTTAGCTTCTTTCCATTCTTCCCCTTTCTTCTTCCTCAGCTGTCCAATTTCTTTTACTACCCAGGGCTAAAAAGTTTATATTACTGTTTTGTTATTTCACCAGAAATTCTCTTATTGTACATTCATTCCTCACTTCTCCATTGATTTTGCTCTAAGATCTTCATTCTTGTTCTGTACTGCTTTCACTGACTTTATTTCTTTCAGTTTGGTTTGGTTTTTAGACAGTCACTATGTAGCCCATGCTGGCCTCCAACACTCATTCCCCCCATCTCAGCTTCAGTGCTGGGACTACAGGCCTGGCTTGGCCTGGATTTTTCTTTTTCTTTTTTCTTTTTTTTGGTACCAGGGATTGAACTTGGGACATCGCGCTTTTGATGCAGGCGCCGGAACCACTGAGCTAAATCCCTGGCCCTGGATTTTTCTTTTTCTTTCTTTTTTTTTTTTTTGTGGTGCTGGGGATTGAACTCAGGACTTCACACATCACTGAGCTATGTCTTAATTAGTTTAGTTTTGTTTTTATTTTTCTTTTTGAGACAGACTTTTTCTGTGTAGTTCAGGTGATCTTTCTGCCTCAATCTCCCAAGGTTCTAAGCGTGGGATACCACACCTGACTTCTCTTTACTCTGTTGCTCCCTGCCTTCCTGAGACCTAGGGCCTCCTGTCACCTCTCTCACCCAGTCTAAACTCCTCTACCTACAGAACACTGGCTGGCACGACCCCATCTTATGGTCCTAATTTTCGCTGTGGCAGCTGTCAGCCTTAGCCTGCCCAGTAGTCTAGACTATGCCCTTGCAGGGTGTTCTGCCTGCCACTGGTTTTTTACTCAGGACACCCCAAGAATGGAAAGTGCTTCCTTTGCTTCACAGAAAGCCCCACCCATCCTGCCTTTCCCTTCCCGTTCTGCCCTCTCCTGTTCCCTGCTGAACAGTGTAACCCAAGCTGATTGGAAGAGGTGTGTCTTAGACTAGTTTGATAGTCTGACACCTGCTGGGTTATGTTATCTTCTCAAGGTATATTACTCATAATCCAACCCTCCCACTTACAAGAAATCCTTTTTCCCCTCTTTTGCTTTGAGACTCAGGAGTAAGGGTTGAATGCCACGCCCAAGGGCTTTTTTGTTCTTGATTCATTTGGGAGTTTGTTTTATTTTTTGGGAGGAAGAAGAAACCATGAACTTGCTTTTAAAAAATTAAGGAAGGGCCAGGGATTTAGCTCAGTGGTTCCACAGCGCAGCCTGCCTTAAAAGTGCAAGGTCCTGAGTTTGATCCCCGGTACCAAAAAAAAAAAAAAATTAAGGAGAGCAAACATTTCAAAATCGAAAGTATTTTAAGTAAAGCTGTGGAGAAGCAGGTTTGGGGGGAAATATTTGTTTATTTATTTTTGGTTTTATGGGGCAGGGTCTCACTCCATAATTCAGGGTGTCCTTGAAGTCACTATGTGGCTCATGCTGGCCTAGAACTAGTGGCATTCCTCCTGCCTCAGCCTCCTGCATACTGACTGGGATTATAGGCATGCACCACTGTCCCTGTGGGGCCCAAGAGGAGTTTTTAAACTGGCTGGTATTATCTCTGATCAGAGTAGGATGAGGTCAGCTGTTCTGTGCCCCATTAAGTAGATTACTTTGTTGTCTTTTTTTTATGAGTGTGGTGCTGAGGCTCTAACCCATCACCCACATCCCTGCTACTTTGTTTTCTTTTAAGATGTTAATCCACTGTCTTCTGAAATTCACTGTATTAAGAAGAAAAGCCTGCCTGTTGGGGGCTCCCTGTACTGGAGAGAGGTAGGTTGGGAGCTGCTGGCCGGAAGTGATGAGCAGGGTAAGGCGAGGCTTCTGAGAGGGAAACAAGTTGCCTGAAACCTTGGATAGTATAGGTTGGAGGCCAGAAGACCCAGCAGTGGAAGGAACGTTGTTCCATGTTCACGTTGGAGGTGGGTGGGGAGGACTGGCAAGATTTTGTTTGTTTTAGAGACCAGGTCTCAACTATGTACCCCAGATTGGCTTCAAACTCACAGTGATTCTTCTACCTCAGTCTCCCAAGTGGTGGGAGTACAGGGGTGCACCATGATGCATGGCAATGGCAAGACTGACAGGGACTTGGAACTGAGTGGTTGTAGGGATTTAGAGGAGGGCTTTAAACCCTGGTGGCAGGAGATTGGTTGCTATGTTGCTTGGCTTGTTGGTTGGGAGCTACCAGGGAGTTGCCATTGAAGGAACATTTCTCATGTGCTGGAAAATGCCCTTTCTGTTGGCCCTTGACCTCAAGGATCCGTCAGCCTGGTAGAGAACAGTGGAGAACATGCGTCCTTGCTTTAGTGATGATGGAAATTAAAACTGAGGCATGAAAGTTCAGTACAAATTTACAGGAAAAAGTTTTCATTGGAAAGGAAGAGAAAATGATGGCGATCAAGCTGGCCACCTTAGAAAAGAAAGTTAAGAGCAGACGGGGAAAGGGCTTCCGGGTGAGGGACTGAAGAGGCATGGGTGTGAAGAGGAGGATAGGACCAGGCACCCAGCACACTGTGGGCACCAGTCTTCCAGGGTCCTGTGGTGGCTGGGGTTTGGTTGATCATTGCCTCAGTCCTGGTTTGGAATCCTGTGGCTCAAGGGCAGTTTGGTTTCCTTGAGATGCTTGTCCTTGATTGGGAGTACAATCTCCTCTTGGGGTGGCCTTCTCTTGGGGACTCTGAGGGGATCACAGGTCTACGACAGTGTCTAGAGGCTTTTCAGCATTGCTTCAGGGGCCTCTGGGACTGGAACTTTGTAAAAGCTGGTAACTGGATATCCCTGAAATCCTTCAGAGCTAGGCTTATCTTGATGTCCTCAGTCGAAGGAGGAGACAGACTAGGTGAATTTTGAGTTATAAACCTTGTGAAACAGACTTCCCGAGTGACTAGCCCAGGTAATAAAAGAGACAACAAATGAGGCCAGAGATGTGAGGCTTCATCCTGCTTTTAGCTGGGCATCTGTAGTCCCTGACTCTCAGTCCCTGACTACCTCACGAGAAAACACAAATCAAGCATTTTTCCTTTTTTTTTTTTTTGTAATTGCACTGTAGTATTGGGGATTGAACCCAGGGCATTCATACTGGGCTATATCCCCACCCCCACCCCCCTTTTTAAATTATTTTGAGTCAGGTCTCACTTAGTTTCCCAGGCTGGCCTTGAGCTTGTGATCCCCATGCCTCAGCCTGCCGGAGTGTTGGGACTGCAGGCATGCACTCCATGCTGTCACATTGTACTTTAATGAGAAACAGGTTAAGGGCCCAGGAGTGTGCTTGCTCTCAAGTGATCTCTAACTGCATCAGAACCAAACAGGACTGGAGTAGCAGTTGAGGTGTGTGCAAGGTGCTACAGTGTCTAGTGTAAAAAGGAAGGCTTGCCTTGCTCAGCTGGCTTCTGAGGGCCCAGGAGAGTCATGCAGAGGACGGTGACTTTCTGGTGGTGAGGGGGCACTCGGAAGTCACAGGGACAGGAAAGATCCATCTTATTAGAT